TATGCTTGTATAGGAGATCCCTTTGAAATCCAAAGACTTTAGTCAGAGAAGCTGAGAATAAATAATAGACAAAAGCAGTGACAAACTATTTCTGTGTTGTTGTCAAGAATACTACACGGATGTCTTCATGTAATCACTGGGAATTAAGCCCAACTCAAGAAAAATTTGTATTTTATTGATGCACAGAAATACAGCCTTGTTATAAGAGATGCACATAATCAGAAATTATGAAACAGAGCCATAAATATTATTTGTCTTTAGATAGACAACCTACTTTGATTTACATGATTTTTCTCACTAGTGTGGCAGCGAAGATCACAACAGAATCTCCCATTGTTAAAAATTAAATTGTAGTTTCTCAAAATATTCATACCTGAAAAAGTTGGTTAGATTTATCATTTAGGGAAACAATTAAACTTCAGATTATGGATCACAATTGGATTGTTTTCTAATTATTTAGTTTAAGTATAATTTCTGATTTAAACAATAGTTTTCAACTGTTAATTGAAGAAAAGATTTTTTTAAAAAATGTTGTATTTGTGTTTTATTAATTATACTGTACTGAAGAATGAGGGACCATGGAAGTATATAAGCTAAGAATCATCTAGAGCAAGGCTGTCAAACTTCTGGCCCATGGGCTGGATGTGTCACATGCTGGCCATGCCCATGCCTGGTTTAGCGAAGGGGAAAAAGTCCTGATACGTTACGTGATGTTGCCATGACAACATGAGTTGATACCCCTGATCTAGAGAGATCAATGTTTTGGCTGATTTTAGAAACTTGAGTAGGATTGAACCTAGTTAATATTTGAAAATGTAACCAGAAAATTCTAAATCAGGTTTTCTAGAAAGATTCTGGAAATAAATAATGGCAAGCCATTCTATATTTTTACCAGAATGATTCCATCAATAGTTCCATGGAGTCACCAGAATTTGAACTTGACTCATGAGGAGATTTTGAATTTACTGTTGTGTACATCACATCAAAGTACTAATTATAGTGGGCATTATGCCTAAGTTAACTATGCAAGCCTCTTAGGTAATGTCAAATGCTTTATGCAAAATGTCCTCTGAATGAGGATATACAAAAACAACTAATATCTTATGCAGTGTTTCTATATTTAGAGAAGTTCTCTCCTGTTGTCAAACCAATTAGAATGCAATCCCACTTTTCATTACTTATATAGTTTGCAGTGTTACTTCTAAGTAGATAATATGTTATTTGCTTTGTGCAGTTGCAATCATGGAGATATTTTCTGTGTAATTCACCTTATTGTATTAAAATATACATGCAGCAAAACAGGTTCAAAAATATATTCAGCCCTAGAAGTGTAATGGATGTTCTGTTTAATTTTGCTCTTGAGACTTTGTCCAGTAATTCCAGTTACTGAAAGCTTTGAGGCTATAATAAATATGCAATTTACATGCTGAGTTTTCTTCCAGTTTAGATAACTACCAATCAAAGCTTTGTGATGGCATAGTATGCCTCATTGAATGAATTATAGCTTCCTTATTAAAGCATATCAATATCATATTCTTAAAAAAATCTGAGACCAATAAAAATACTTATGGGAGAAATTATCTATGAAAGTAAGATTCCTGTGATATAGGAGAAAAAAGATCTGCTATTTTATAGACATTAAGCTGTACTTGAGCATTTTAAAATGTATTCAAATATTATAGCTGCATTTTAGAAGCCCAATAATCTTACCTATGATTTTCAAAACCATTGTGACAAGATCAAGCTGGGAAAATCAGTCTAGAATGGATTTTTTAAAGAAGCTTGGGTTTAGGCAAATTTGGGCATACATTTTAGAGGATTGATTGAGTAAGAAACAAATACAAGCTTGGTTCTATCAGAATTCCTTTTTTGGCTGACAGTGGCTGGTGCAGCAAATGCAAACTCTTATTATAGAAAACTGAACTACAAATGCCAGCCTCACCCAGCTGTGTAATCCATAGTACATCCATTTTGAATAATAGTTTTTCCCATAGCTCTCAGTCCTCTGATCCTCAAAATGTTAAGTGTAGCTAATTATTAACTTGTGAGCTTGTATATATTTTTTGAAAACTAAGCCTTACACAGTTAGGTAGGACTTGGAGAGACTTTGAGGATTCTAATATTATTATTTCAATACTGCTCATGTTCTGTCTCAATCATAGCCTCTCAAAAATGAACTTGAAATAGGCTCCTGAAAAGTTACATAATTGTTCAATAGGATTAAGGGTATTTTATTAACATGAAGTAATAAATGTGCAGTACAGAAAAGAGTGTAGGTTTCCACAGTTTGCAACATCTATGACTACAGCTTCTTTTTATATAAGTTAAAGGTTTCTGATAGTTTTGTCTGGCCTGAATTTTGAGCATTTTCAATCTCTATAGACTTTTTAGTGCAAATTGACTGGTATTTTGAATAGAAGCATGTAGCTTTTTACAGGCAGGATGAAAGGGGGTTCTTTCAGTTCAGGTTTTATTTATTCATCACATTTCACAGAGGAAGGGCACTCAGTATTCTAAGAGGTCGACATTTTTTTTTTCAATTACATAGCTCTGCAAAACTGTTCCCTTGCCTCCAAAAGCAACACTTCTGCTGAGGTGCCCCTTTTGTTAGGAACATAGGTAAATAGGTAGGCTTCTGTTAGACTTAGCTGGCAGAAAGTTAATCAACTTATCTTTCAGTCATCCTTTTCCTTGGGGGTGTGGGGTGGGGGCTGATATGATAAAGCATCTTATATATATATTCATAACTATGTTTTTACTTATACCTATTATCTTGTAAGCAATTGACAAAAATAATAAACAAACAAACAAACAAATAAATAAATAAAAATCTTCTCCATGCATCTCACAGGAATGTAGATATATTCAGCAATCTGAAATTGCCTAAATCCACTTTTATTTGCTAGCTATATTCTCTTTCTCCTTCTTTGACTCCAACATGACCTTTCCTGTAGCTCTTTAGAAGATTCTTATTTCCTTTCCCGTCTCTTGAGAGCCGTATGTATGTGAAAACCTTATCTGTTTTCTCTCAGTTTCTTCCCATCCTTAAATTTTCAGCTGCAAATATAATTGTATATCTAGGAGATTATGTGACATAATGACAGTGGTATTCTGTTCCATTCTGTCATTTAAATGGTAACTAGCATCATCTTTGCCTTTACTTTCTGAAATCGATGAAAAGGACTTAAGATCTGCAGCGGTCCATTAGCCTATAATTGGAAATGTATTTGTACATATTCATTGTCAAATACATACAAGATTTACCTTATAAAGTAGTATTCCAAATGACAAACTGAAGTAGCAGTATCACAATCTAATTTCATTTAAAAGAAAAAGAAAAGAAATGTACAGATTTTGAAAGAAAAAGAAAATTCCAAAAGTGCAGATCTTGGTTATCATTCTAACTTAATTTCTTCTGGAAAAAAATATATTTCCAACTTTCAGTATGGTCACAAGTTACTAGGCACCTACATTACAAAACAAATAATATATTTTCAAGGAAATCTCATAAGGGAGGAACATCCCTGTCTGAGGAAAATAATAGCAATTCACAAGCATAGTCCCTGACAATTTCTATATAAGTTGGAATGGATAATAGTTATATGGGCAGGTATTAATTTTCAATATCAGCAATGACAAAAAAAGCTTTTCAACTCGAAGTTTTTATGTTTAAAGTAAAATATTTTATATCCAACTATCCTTTGTATGTAGAAGCATCAAACATTGGTTAAATGGATCTGATGAAATTGCATCAGTGGATGCTGTAATGTCTAGTGGTTCCTGTATATATGTATGCAATACATTTTCTTGGGTGTATTTGGTGGTATCAGCATATAGCCAAGCGACAAGAAATCGGTAGAATTTTTACACATGAACAAACTTTCATGTTGCATGAGTTCAGAAATAATTCCTTTTTTTACACATTCTACCTACACAATGAAAACTTTTTCCGGATTTGGCCAGGGAGAAACAAAATTAGGCTTGGAGTTGAAAATGACAAGTCAAATGACAAGCTTTAAGCAAGCACAACGCTAAAATAAATCCAGGCCTATTCTAGATCTTGTGAAGAGATTTGCTCCAAATATTGGAGAAAGGAAAAGGATTTTTAAGAATAATCTTTGGTACCTATAATCCATGAGTATCAAACTCAAGGCCCACAGGTCGGATCCAGCCCACAGGATAATTAGATTTAGCCTATAGCCACACCCTGGAAAGACTGGCCCGCGGTGCCCTGCCAGCGAAAACAGACCTCAAGGAAGTTGCACGTGGCCCACCCAGGCTCTGTTTTTGGCTGTAATGGCCTCCTGTAACCCCCTGCCAGTGAAAACGGAGCTTGGGGAAGCTGTGTGGCGCATCCAGGCTCTGTTTTTGCCCATCACAGCCAAAAACGGAGCCTCGATGAATGACATTGAGCTGGCCAAGCCCACCTGTCTCCGTCCCAGCAAGGGCATGTGGCCCTCAATGAAATTGAGTTTGACATCCCTGCTATAGTCCCACCAGTGGCATAATTGAGTATTTTAAACTGTAATCTAAATGATAGACTACTCGGTAGTGGTCACTGTTACTGTGAGGGATGGATTACTTTGGTGATGTCTTCACTTGGGAGAATTGGAGAATAATCCAGTAAGTCACATGATCTAAATTTCCTTTATACATTTTTACACATTTTAAATTTCCTTTACACATTTTGACAAACATATTTAACTGAATGCAGTAAGGAAGCAGATGAATAGAGAAAAGAAATACTTCATACTAGATATTAAGGAAGTTTTACTTGAGACAGGGATAGCATTAAACAGTCATTGTTATCATATGAAACTGTCAGTAGAAAGAAGTTATTTTACTTTTGTGAGGTTGTCTCAACAAATGAATTGGTATTCTGTTTATTTGAAAGTTCTGTTTTGATGCACCAAAACATTGCTATTAATTTCTGAAAACTGACAAACATATACTACACTGTATATGTTCGGGTTAAAAAATATTTCCATCTTACTCTCTAGGCATGCCTTCAGTCAAGTTGAATACACAAAATCTCACGGTTGTTGAAGGCAAAACTATCACTTTATACTGTGAAGCCACAGGAAGTCCATCACCAACGATAGCTTGGGTTTTCAATAATATTGTTTCAAAACATGAGGTAAGATTTTAATATTAAAATATGTATATTAGCCATTGCAAAACTCAAGTTTTGAACAGGCATTAATTTATCTCGGGTGGTCTTCATTTATGCTGATACTCATTTCATCAAGGACATTTGGGTCCTGATACAACTTTTTCAAAAGAGAATGCACCTGCTTCAGAATGATGGCATTATATACCTTTACTTGGGAAAATGTTAATTTCCTCCTGAAATCATCTGAATATCTTGTTTTGCTTCTTAAGGGGCTAGGAAGGACATGAAACAAGCTGGATAATGGGGAAAATCAAACTACCAAAACCCCTTTCTAGTCTCTTGGGCTCTATGAGCCCATAGTATCATAGAAGACATCACCTTGTTCACCACAGTGGATGTTGTCCAAGTGCCATCCAGGCATAATAGACTATCTGCAAAGAGGTCCTCAAAACAAGCAGTGTGTATATGGTGCTTGTTTTATCCACATTAGTAGTGAATAAAGTTTTTGAAAGTGTTCTTATGTAAATTAGTTAAGTACATCTGTTGGCATTAATAGTATGCAGAAAATCATACTCAGTTTTCAATGGAAATTCTCTAAGCCTGTGTATTTCTTTGTATTCCTTCTAGAGTGATACAAATAAGAACCCCGCTTCTTTTACTATAAAGAATGTCTCATCAAGTGACAGTGGCATACAGATTTACTGTATAGCAGAAAATACTGTGGGTGAAGACCAAGCTTCTGTTGACCTCACCGTGTTCTGTATGTAAATAACTTTGGATAAAATTTTCATGCAGAAAATTGTTGCCTAATGAAAAAAAATGGGAACTAACATTTTGCAATTTAAGTTGAACTTTTCCCAGAAAGAGAGATCGTTTATAAAATAAATATTTTCAAGAAGTTAGGTAGAATAGAATAGAATAGAATAGAATAGAATAGAATAGAATAGAATAGAATAGAATAGAATAGAATAGAACAGAGCTGGAGGGGCCTTGGAGGTCTTTTAGTCCAGGCCCCTGCTCAAGCAGGAGAACTTATACTATTTCAGATGAGTGAGATTGAAAATTGTCTCCTTTTTTTTCTTGGCTGTCCTCAATGCTGTCCTTATAGTGATAATTACCACGCCATCACACCAATGAAATTCTTTATTTGAATTTGCTATAGGATTCAGTGTATTTAGTACTATTACTACATCAGCCATTAAGCAATGGTATGGGTAAATGCCAGCAGTAGGGTAAATGGTACTATGCTATGGCCTGTAGGAGGATGTTCCAGTCAATATTAAGATTATTTCTTATTCAGTCCTCTAAAGTGGTCTGTCCTTAAAGGACATGCAGTTTCTAAGACTGTCTCCCACTGACTACTGAAATTTGTCTGGCAATTCTTAGTTTTGATAGCAACCTTAGAAAAGGAATAATGAAATGGAGGGTTTGGTGGGACTAAATTAGGAGGCATCTGGTAGAACAGTCGCAAGCTCTCCTGGTTTCCATAGAAGCCCCCAAATCAATTCCTACCATCCACCAATGGTGTGGTAGTCAACAGAGGTGGTATGGGTCCTAGCAACTCCTCTTAGACAATTCTTTTATTATTATACTCAAACAAGATTCTTTTCAAATTTAATTCCTTCTACCTTTCTGCTTGTAAATTAGCTTTATTTGAACAAGCTGACAGATTGACAAGGAAGAGAATACATGAAAGACTCAGGTTATTTTTTTCATTGTTCTTATTATAGTTGCACCAAATATCACATATCTTGAAATACCATATTCGGACCATCACTGGTGCATTCCATTCAGTGTGAGGGGAAATCCACAACCAGTCTTGACATGGCTGCACGATGGGGCTAAACTGAATGAATCAGAATATATCTGGACCAAAATACATGTTACCAATCGGACAGAATATCATGGCTGCCTTCAGCTGGACAATCCTACTCATGTCAACAATGGGAATTATACTTTGGTGGCACAGAATCAGTATGGAAAAGATGAAGCCAACGTCTCTGCTTATTTTATGGAAGATCCTGGAGGTAGTAAGTAATAATATAATCAGAATATTGTTGAAGTGCTAAGTAGGTTTTTAAAATATATACAATGGTAGCATTAGGTGTAATAAAGTCAGGTGTAAAAATTAAGCATCTATTTCCTTGCAAAATTAAAGTAAATTTTAGTCACATACTATTAAGCTAAAAGGTCAGATGATTAAAATGCAAAGATATGCAAATATAATATAATCTTCCTCTGAGTGAATAGCAAAGTAGCCTTAACTTTTCATGATGGCTTAAATTTCTGCTTAGGTTCTTTAGCCAATAATAGAATATTCTTATATGGTTAAATTAATAATAAAAATAATATTTCTTGTTTTCAATATTGCAGTACAAGACTGAAAGTACATTAGTGCCACTAAAGGGAGCATTTTCCATCCATTTGCTTGCTTAACTTTTACTTTCTTTTTGTCATCAGTCACCAGGGTCTACTTTTAGTAACTGATTAGATCAGATGGATTTAGCATAATTTCTTCAATGTGAAATTACTGTTTTTCTTTGAATAAAAACAATTAAGTCGTCTTTTCAGATACACTTAAGCTAATTGCATTTCTTATATTTACTTGTGATTTTAATTAAATGTGATTTAAGTCATATCATCTTTCTTTTTTATCACTACTGCTAGCAAAATTATTAATTATAGGAAACCTGAACAATACTGGGATTTTTTCTTCTTCTGTGATGAATAGATCACATAAATGCAATCATAGTGGTGGAATGATCTATAAATTTGCAGTACTATGGGGATACTTTAAAAGAAAAAAAAAATGGGTAAATTAATTGACTTGAGGTTGCCTGGCTATGTGTTGTAATACATTTGGAGGAAACTAGCTTGGGGAAGGCTGGATAAGATTTTTTTCTTCCCCTCAAGAAAAAAAAATGGCAGTACATAAAGGGAAAAGAAATAAAAGTGGATTGAATTAGAATAGGAGATTTCTCTTATTCTCTTTATCTTGCAACGTATAAGACTATAAGGGTAGAATAGTGCTTGATGCTTAATGCCAAGTGAAGAAGACTAACCTAAATGATGCATATAATTTATTAATGGCTTTATTCCTCATCTTAATATATCATTGACTTTAACAAAACCTCCTTGACTTCTGTACCTGGAATAGTTTATATATGGAATTTAATTATGCCACCCCTGTAAGGCGACTCTAATATCCCTAATAAGAAACTACAATAGAGTATTTCAAATGTTGTAAAGGCATGGTCTCTGTTCCCCGTATTGTATTTTTCAAACATAATAACAAATACTTTGACCTGGATTTTGTACAGAGAAGGATGGCATCTTGGGATAGTTGTGAGAGAAGGATGGCATCTTGGGATAGTTGATACCCTGGAAATGTGCTCATGGAAATATATGATAGCTTGGGATTCAGAACAGAACAGAAAAACAGAGTTGGAAGTGACCTTGGAGGTCTTCTTATCCAACTTATCCTGATCAAGCAGGAGATCCTATATCATTTCAGACAAATGGTTGTTCAATCTCTTCTTAAAAACATCCAATGTTGGAGCATTCTCTAACTTCTAGAGATTGCTTATTGTTCTTAAGTAGCTATAGTATAAGTAAGTATCAGTTACTTATTGTCTGCTTTAAAGGTGTTCCCAACAATGTTCTACGCAGGATGTTCTAAATCTAAATTAAACTCACGTCATCACGTGATGCATTGTGACGTTTTCTCCCCTTTGCTAAACCGGGCATTGGCATGGCCAGCACATGTCGCATCCAGGCGGGCTGCGCCCTGGTCTAAATCATATTTCTTTTTCCAATCCAAGATATTTCCCTACAAAGCAGCCCTACGAGACTTCCTGTGCTGCAAAGTTTTGCTTAAAGTAGGGGAGAGAAGCCTGAAAGGAGAGATAAACTTGAACCCAGTGTCCTCACTCCTGCAAGAATATGTTTTAACATGTCAAATGTGCTGCTCTTTTAGGATCTGACCTAATTTTAGTATGCCAGAAACTAAAATTCATTTTTGTTATGTAGTTTGATTATCATCCTTTTAAAAGGACATTAGAATAAACAGTATTTGTCCATCTTTTCCCATTATGTAAATAAAGATAAATGTGAAAAGATAAAATCTGCTGTGATTACATTCAAAGTTTTTGTTGCTATTTAAGATGAATACAAATCATTCTTGGAATCTTAGCATGGCTATTGTTTCTTTGCATTGTCATTGTAAATTGTACATTCTGCACAATGAAACATGACAAGTAGACCCACACCCTGGTATTATATTCATTTCCATGCCTACGTGCTAGCATTAAATGTTACTGGATGTTTAATGAGCAGGAATATGCTCCTTGAGATTAGAATTGATTTTATGTCATCATAGAATTGAGAAATATTTGAATAACAGTGGGATCTTATGCTTATATACTCAGAGGTCAGTATCACGGAGTTTAGTTAGGCATATTCTCACTGAAACTTGAAAAGTGTGTACAAAATTGCAGATTTGAAGGCTATAACATAAATCTATCTACTTTTAAAGTGTAATTATCACAATCAAACGCAGAAGATAAGTTTCATCTCAAAGATGAAAACAAATAATGTGTGCTAAGATTCTGTACTGACAGAGACAAGTAATTAATTATTCTAATGTCTGCTATGTAAATCTTTCAATAAGTATGCATAATATCTAGTAACAATGTTCTGTCAGTTAAAGTCTATTGATGCATGTTACTATGGTTAAGAACATGGTTAGAACTATGCAGATACAATAGTAGGACTATTAAACAAATAATTGTCTTTTATTGTCAGTGGTTTATGGGATGCAGTAAACAATCTACATCCAGCCACTTTATTGTAAGTCCCTGGCCAAGAGGAAAATTGTACAGTTAACCCTAAGCAGAGTAGTACAACATAGGAAGGGAATTCATTCCTTCCTTCTCAGTTGTTTGGGAGGGTTAACTGGGGAAAGAAAATAATTTATAATTTCCCGTGCTATTCCAGAACTTACATATGCAAATTTTTTTCAAGAAAGTATTGGCTTCATTGTACTTTTTAATTATATTTCAAGCCATTTTTAGAATGTTCTAAAGTTGCACCCGTTTTTCATACAAAACTATCAAATTGATGTTAGAGAATAATAATACGTTTCAAATGTAATTACATGCAATTTTTATTATTAATATTTAAACCAGTTAGTCTTAGAGACAAGTTCATTATCCAGATAATGTGCTAATATAAAATATCTACATAAAACTGTACAGAAGATATATTTTTTGGTCTGGGCACAAAATTTTGAGCTTAAGTTTGGATTCTGTTCTTATTCAAAGCAGGCGGTAATATTTTTTTATTATTGTGATTATTGAAATTGTTCCAAATTTCTAAATAAGTCATAAGAGGATTAGGATACCAATTTACTTTTAAAGTAGGAGAGGCAAAGTGCTTTTTGAAACAAATGAGAAAAGTCAAACACTTGTTATATTCCTATTTTTTTTAATATACCTTCTGTTGGCAAGTTCCTATAATTTTCATAATAGCTACAACTAACAATAAAATCACCTTAAAATTTGGAGTAAATAAAAAAGAGAAACGAAAAGATCATCTGGGTATAGATTCCTCACTGGATGTATTTATTGTTGCCTTTGGGAACCTTTCCCAGCTTATGTTGGAGGACTATTGTACAGTATACAGGTCAGTAAATGACAGAAATCTTCTAATGGCATTAGAATGTCCTGGCCTTTATGCAGTGGTTCTCCTATTTGAAAAAGTGATACCATATAAAGCTTCACTAGCACCAAAGAACTGATGCTCAAATCTTCTAGACCAATGGCCCCCAACCTTTTAAGCATCAGGGACTGGTTCTGTAGAGAGAGGCTTTTCTGAGGATTGGAGGGGGCATGATTTCACATGCTGTCTGCATCCCACGGATGGGGCTTCACTTGTTTGCTTGCCAGTTTCTGGCATGCCATAGCCCGGTGCTGGTCCATGGACCGGGGTTTGGGGACCCCTATTCTAGACCCCCTTCCTTTCCCAAGAAAGACAAGACAAAAATAGCCACCAGAAGAAGTCAATATGAATAAACTAAAGTCTTCCTTTCAGGCCCTTTTTTTCTGGAAAAGCTTCTAGTACCTTTCCCTTGGAAGCTCAAGACCAGGTGGGACAGGTCTTTCAGGTAGGCACTTTAGTGTCACATAAGTAAGCTCACAGAGCTCTTCCTCCACAGAGCAATACCTGGAATGCTGGTTTCCAACCCCAGATGAGACAGAACTTACAGGTAGGCAACCCAGAGTCTCATAAGCAAGCTCATGTGAGAATTCCTCATAGGCACATAACATATATTATGATATGCATTTATTTTCTCTAGTGACTAGTAAAATGAGCAAGAAATAATTAAAAGAGTACAAATAATAAGTATGCCACTTGCATGAGTTGAAACAGGTGCAAAGTAAGGGGTGTATACAAAGCAAAAAGTTGTGTTTTCAGCTCAGAAAAAAAAAACCAGTCCCACTCAGAACATACCTTAGAAGGATGATTGAGTGGATTGGGTTCTGACAAGCAAATTGAAATATCTCAAGTGTTTTGCCATCTGAACAATCTGAACTTGAAGCAATCCTTTTACTCCCTTGTTTAGTATCCTAGGTGGCGTAGTAGTCTGCGTTGAACGCTATGTACAACCCAGTGTACAGAAAAAATGATCAAGGAAATGATTTTTAATTTTTTCTTCAACATTATAATAATTTCCAAAGCAAATTATGTAAGCAACAGTTGTTTCAATGCTTTCTGTAGCCAGTGCTTGCACAACAGCCACAGAACTGATCTCAGCAAAGGAGTGACACCAGTAGATGAATTTCAGCACAACCCATTTATCACCCTCCAAACTGCCACCAGGCACTCTCAGTTTATCAAAACATTCATTAATTGGCACTGATGACTTGGCTAGGCCCCATCACTAACTCACTGAACTTACATAGTGTGTGTGTGTGTGTGTGTGTGTGTGTGTGTGTGTGTGTGTGTGTGTCTGAGAGTCTACTGACTACCTTCTATCGGAGTTCAATTGAGAGTATATTATCCTACTGTCTCTGTGTATGGTTCTCGAGCTGCACAGTGGCAGAGAAAAAGGCAATTCAGAGGGTGATCAAGACGGCCCAAAACATCATTGGCTGCTCACTCCCCTCTTTGGAAGAACTGTATAGGAATAGATGTAAGAGGAAGATACTTAATATATTGAATGACTCCTCTCATCCGGGACATCAGCTCTTTGAACTATTACCACCGAGAAGGAGATTTAGGGTATTAAGAACAATGACGACCAGATTTAAGAACAGTTTTTATCCAAGTGCAGTTTTGAGTTTGAATGCAGGGTCATAAGATTTTTGTGGAATTTAAATGGCTGAGAGTAATGGGGTATTTACATTTTTAAATTGCATAGAGATTATTGTATGGTTGGTTGTGTTTAGTTCAATTTTTTTTTCTTTTAGTGGTGTTTGTCCAGTTTTACTTTGTGGAAGAGCACCTCATTTCGTTGCACCCGCTTGCGAGTGTAATGACAAATAAATTCTTATGTCTTATGTCACAACAGCAAAATATGTTTTTTTCCTTACATAATATTTCTGTAAAGCTCCACATATAACTAAAGCAATGTAGTGCTTGTAGTTGACAGCGTGAAAACTGAAAAGCAGAACAATATTATCTGTACAACACACACACACACACACACACACACACACACACACTATGTAAGTTCAGTGAGTTAGTGATGGGGCCTAGCCAAGTCATCAGTGCCAATTAATGAATGTTTTGATAAACTGAGAGTGCCTGGTGGCAGTTTGGAGGGTGAGGGTAGGGTGTGATACTTAATCACCCTCAATTGGCTATTTAAAAAGTCCAATAGCCAATATGTACATGTACCAGGAAAATGATATGCACTGTCTGCCAATATGTTACAATAATTTGATTGAATCCTCTCAAATAAAGAACCACTTCTTATTTGGGAGCATATTTGAGGGAATTGAGGGAACTAAATGTAGAAGCATAATTAAAGGTAAATGAAAAGCACAAGAGGGATAGGAATCCCTTTCCTATTTTATTTCTTTCCTCTTAATCTAATGAATTTTAACTAATGAATTAACTAATGAATTAACCTACACAGTATAATTAACTTTGGAGAATAAGACAGGAGGGCAATTGTCTAGGCAAGCAACAGTATATTCATCTATGAATTTCAGTCTGAAAAGCTGACTACAGTCTTTAACTTCTCTCTCCATTCCAGGAGCAACATTCCAAAGTGGCTTCAAATCTTTTGAGCATGTGACTTTCACTCTATCTTATCCTCTCCTTAAGTAGTTTGCCTATTATTTTATTATCTATGCACTTTCCAGATCTCATGTCTCTAACAGTCCAAATATGGTATATTGGAGCACTCAAAATTTAGAACAAACACCCCACTTAGTTCCAAACTCTGAACAAAGCACTAGAATATGGAGTGTTCCAAGCTAGGATACCTCTCTAATGCAAACACATGTTTCATGTTTGGATTTATTTGTTCATCAGATAATTGGGAGTAAGGTGGGATGGGGAGGGGAGACAGGCTTCCCAAATTAGGCTAATCTTGGTACAGTAACATTACAGAAGAAAATTGTCTTGGTTGATCTTCAGTCAAAAGTGATTTTTTTTTCTTGATACAGATGTTGATTTTATGGACTGAAAATCTTTTATTTTTAAGCTTAAATTTGCACAGCAGATTTCAAATGAATGGCCAAAATTTTTTTAAAAGTGTAATGTACAAAACATGTTTAGTATCACAATCTTCCCTAACATGGTATCTTCCTAAATTATGAATTATGGAAATTGTATTGCAATGTACTTGGAAGGCACTAAGTAAGGGAAGTCGGCATTAAGGAATGGTGTGGAACTATTCAGACTGTTGCATTATTTTCTTTCTTTCAGATAATATTGTTTCATACTTATAGATTCTCTGATAGAAATGATCCCAATTAAAATATGAATTCTAATGTTATGAACATTGTTGAATTAGTGTATTATCAAAGTGAAATCGATTTGTGGAGTAAATATGTGGAGTAAATCTTATCTTCCTACTACAGTGCCTCCTTCATATACTCTCTCCCATCCTGGAGGTGTCATTCCAGATCTGAGTTCATGCAAGGCCTGCAGTAGGGAGAAATAAATAGGAAAACCTTGCTATGTGTAAAAGAGATCACTTTTGGTTTGGGATTTTGCTCCCATGGCCAGGGAATTTTAGAATTAATCATTTGCTTCTGGCAATGGTAAACTCAGTTCTGCGTTAAATATAAAGTAGGTTGCATGCCTAAATGTGATGCAATTATGCAAGTTGTTTCTGTTAACTACGCTGCTATGATATATTTCTTTTTCTTTCTGTTCTGTAGGTAGTCCATTCTATGATCATCCCGGTTACATTGGTATATTTTCATTTTCTATTTTCTATTATATATGTACACACCATGTAATAATTAAATGTTTGAAAGAGAAGATAGATGTTATACTCTGATGTGATTTGCATGCTGTTTAAATATCACTAGAAATATTTATAATGGGCATGATTCAGCCATGGTTAACATTTTTAGTATCATTAATTTGAACTTTGGATATCTTGATATATACTTAAACCTTTCATTAAAAATGATGGTGCTATCATGTTGACTTCTCTAAATCAGAATAATTTTTACAAATGAAGGTGAATATGCATGTCCCAGGATAATGTTGCAGGATCCAATCTGGGTCGGTCACCGAGAATAGAGGTTTTATCTTCTGAGCTTTCAGACTTGGGCTGGAGCCCATCTTCAGGGAACTTCTTTCTAGCCAGAGATTGAGGAAAGTTCCTTGAAGATGGGCTCCAGCATAAGTCCGAAAATTTGGAAGACAAAATCTCTGGCCCCAGTGACCGACCCAGATTGGATCCTGAAGAATAGTTTTATTCATTATATTTATTTAAAATGTCATGACATCACCAGTGGTTCACTTCGGAATGCTTTGGCAGTCAATATAATTATGCAGTAATAATAAATTCATTGTGATAACAATAGTAAAAAAAAAACCCATTCCAGTGAACATTTAGTGTTCATAGAAAGGTCATGTAATTTTTATTTTTTATATATATTTTGATCAATCTGGACAACAAATCTTGTTTTATTTTTGAGATCTTAATGCCCTTCAACCCAAAGAGAAATCATACTGAATTAGATGAGATAATCCATTTTTATTTGTTGTTATTAATTTCAGTTCACAATATGGAACAAAAATTGTACAACGTATAGTGATATATCCAGTGTTATTGATAAATTACAAATGAATCTATTTTTCAGAGCATTGTTTAAATTTCAAGGTGCTTTGAATTTTCAGTTTTTTTATACAAATTTTGTCCGGTAACTTTATTATCATTCTCTGTATATAAAGTTAAGGCTTCAATCCTATACATTTTTATCTGTAAGTAGGGCTTTTTTAAGATATAGGATAAACTTCACTTACTGAGAAATGGCAGGAATATCTAAGCTAGTGGAATTATTTTAAAGAACACTAAATAGTTCTCAATTAGCTTTGGAATCCATAACTTTATTTACTTGATTTGTGAGATACAGACTTAACTGACTCATCATTAAACTGGACTGTTTCATAAGATCAATAAACTATTTTTTTCTTTCACATACCTTTATATTAATATAATTACTATGAAAAAATGTAATACAGCATATTTACAATCCTATCAAATTACCTACTAACTGAAGGAAAACTCAGTTTTCCTTCAAGAAAAACATATACACTGTTTTGGTCCTTTAACTATGAACCTTTATGGCTTTAACTATTTTAACAGCCCGAGAAATGTCATCTTTGGGGCAGTTTATAAATTATTTTAATGATTAAAGTAGAGTATAGTAGCCATGCACGTTAAATATTAGCCAGTATTATATATTTCTAGATACTTGATACACTGCTCAAAAAAATAAAGGGAACACTTAAACAACACAATGTAACTCCAAGTCACACTTCTGTGAAATCAAACTGTCCACTTAGGTAGCAACACTGATTGACAATCAGTTTCACATGCTGTTGTGCAAATGGAATAGACAACAGGTGGAAAGCATAGGCAGTTAGCAAGACATCCCCAATAAAGGAGTGGTTCTGCAGGTAGTGACCACAGACCACTTCTCAGTTCCTATGCTTTCTGGCTGATGGTTTGGTCACTTTTGAATGCTGGCGGTGCTGTCACTCTAGTGGAAGCATGAGACGGAGCATGACATAAGTGGCTCAGGTAGTGCAGCTCATCCAGGATGGCACATCAATGTGGGCTGTGGCAAGAAGGTTTGCTGTGTCTGTCAGCGTAGTGTCCAGAGCATGGAGGCGCTACCAGGATACAGGCCAGTACATCAGGAGACGTGGAGGAGGCCGTAGGAGGGCAACAACCCAGCATCAGGACTGCTACCTCCACCTTTCTGCAAGGAGGGACAGGAGGAGCACTGCCAGAGTCCTGCAAAATGACCTCCAGTGGGCCACAAATGTGCATGTGGCTGCTCAAACAGTCAGAAACAGACTCCATGGGGGTGATTTGAGGGCCCGACATTCACAGGTGGGGGGGTTGTACTTACAGCCCAACACCATGCAGGACATTTGGCATTTGCCAGAGAACACCAAGATTGGCAAATTCACCACTGGCGCCCTATGCTCTTCACAGATGAAAGCAGGTTCACACTGAGCACATGTGACAGACATGACAGGGTCTGGAGACGCCGTGGAGAACGTTCTGCTGCCTGCAACATCCTCTAGCATGACCGGTTTGGCAGTGGGTCAGTAATAGTGTGGGGTGGCATTTCTTTAGGGGGCCGCACAGCCCTCCGTGTGCTCACCAGAGGTAGCCTAACTGCCATTAGGTACCGAGATGAGATCCTCAGACCCCTTGTGAGACCATATGCTGGTGCAGTTGGCCCTGGGTTCCTCCTAATGCAAGACAATGCTAGACCTTATGTGGCTGGAGTGTGTCAGCAGTTCCTGCAAGAAGAAGGCATTGATGCTATGGACTGGCCCACCCGTTCCCCAGACCTGAATCCAATTGAGCACATCTAGGACATCATGTCTCGCTCCATCCACCAACGCCATGTTGCCCCACAGACTGTCCAGGAGTTGGGGGATGCTTTAGTCCAGGTGTGGGAGGAGATCCCTCAGGAGACCATCCACCACCTCATCAGGAGCATGCCCAGGTGTTGTAGGGAGGTCATACAGGCACGTGGAGGCCACACACACTACTGAGCCTCATTTTGACTTGTTTTAAGGACATTACATCAAAGTTGGATCAGCCTGTAGTGTTTTTTTCCACTTTAATTTTGAGTGTAACTCCAAATCCAGACCTCCATGGGTTGCTAAATTTGATTTCCATTGATAATTTTTGTGTGATTTTGTTGTCAGCACATTCAACTATGTAATGAACAAAGTATTTAATAAGAATATTTCATTCAGATCTAGGATGTCTTATTTTTTGTGTTCCCTTTATTTTTTTGAGCAGTGTATTTCTAGATACTTGGTATTTTTAGTGTGGTGAAACATGCTTTCATATTGTTTGTACAAAAAATAGGAAAGACTCAAACTGAAATCTAAAGTTTTCTTATTAGAAGAGGAGAGCAAAAGAGAAAATGGTTGAGATCTAATGTTTGTTTGGATTTACACAGGGCTGATATCACATTCAGTCCTATTAGGTAGAAGCTCAGTTAGTTTCACCGACTTCTTTTTCTTCCTCCTTCCCACCCCCTCCCCAGACTGTCAAAAGTTATATTAAAATAATTGCCAGTGATACAAATCAACTTGCTAAAGGATAAATGATAGGGAACAAGATCTTTCAGAAAAGTCAAAATATTTTATATAGTTTAGGAGAAGAATGACATTGCTTAAAGTGATTCTCTAATAATAAAACAAAGAACTCATATGAGTAAAATTATTATTTTTGCTTGCTCAATTTCTAGTATTAGATCTGGATACATCATTCCCTCCCACCCCAAAAGTCATTAAAATTACATAAAAGAGTGAACTCAAGCGGTATAATTTTAAAAGTGTTACATAAATTTTTTTTTGCATGGTACCACCTGGTACAAAGTGAAACTAAATATTCCCTTCAATGTTTATATAATTACACTGAACTACCTGATGATCCTTTATTTTTAGTTTTCAGAATTGGCTCAATCCATATGATCATATATTTCTCTTTGCCCTTTGTATTTTGGGTTCATATAAAGTAATGTAACCATTTCCTATTTGTGTCATTCCTTTATAACTCCTATAATTTCTAGGAAGACACTTATTGGAGAAAATTTATATACAGGCAGTCCTCGACTTACAACAGCTCATTTAGTAGCCTTTCAAAGTTACAACAGCACTGAAAAAAGTGACTTATGACCATTTTTCACACTTAAGAGCGTTGCAACATCCACATGGTCTTCTGATCAAAATTCAGGGGCTTGGCCACTGACTCACATTTGTGACAGTTGCAGTGTCCTGGTGTCATGTGATCACCTTTTGCAACCTTCTGAGAAGCAAAGTCAATGGAGAAGTCACTTAACAACCATAACTAACTAACTGACTGACTGACTGACTGACTAACTAACTAACTAACTAACTTAACTACAGTGATTCACTTAACAAATGTAGCAAGAAAAGTCATAAAATGGGGCAAAACTCACTTAACAAATTGCTCACTTAGCAACATATATTTTGGGCATACATTGTGGTCGAGGACTGCATTAAAAAAATTGAGGACTGTATTAAAAACAATGAAGAATGGCAGTTTGATGGAACAGTAAAATCACTAATGTGCCACAGAAACTTCATTTGCATCTTGCTTTTGAATTTATGACTTTCTTGAACCTTTAGAGGAATTATGCTTGCTAATTAAGCCTGTCAGGATATACTCTTTGCAAGTGGCTTTAACAATGTTTGCATGTTTTCATTTTAAAATACATATAGGTCATGGGCTGAATTTCTGACTTCTAATTTTGGAAGGCTAGGCTGAAAGCCTTTTCCTTTATAAAAGGAACTTTTCACCAGTTTCCACTCTGGTGTAGTCAGATAGGGTAATTTGCCTAATACCATCAGGAATGGATTGGCTTAAAACAATCCTAGTAGAGACAATACTGGAAATCAATCCTTCTTTCCCCTTCCTCCCTGTTAATACTTTAGGATCTTTACTACCAAATAAAAATCTCCAAAATGCAAATATTGCTCTGCAGATATAAGCCTGCAATGGCCAACACATCTATGTAGATTCAAAACACCTGAGGTCACCAGATTGCAGAAGGTTGATTTATTCTCTACACCAAAGGAAGAGCTAAGAAATGTTTTCTTTGGAAGATGTGTACAGTGCCATACTTCTCAACTGCTTGATATCCAAGTCACATCACAGAATTACAATGAATTTTGCAGGAATCAAAACCATTTCTATCCTGCTTGGAGGATTAAATAATTAATCCTGACTTTAAACCGTTAGCATTTCTCAAAAGGTAGCATTATTCCTCCCTATATTGTTATTATTCCGACCCATCTAGCACCAGGGAGAGACCAATTTGTGAATTTTGTTTCTCTCAAGTTCTCATTTGTGCAGCCTTAATTTTTTTCATCACATTTCTGTATCAGTTATAGAAGATTAATGCAACCATTATTGAAGAGCTTTTCAAAACTATTATTCTTTTGTCCTTCCAAATTCTTACATGAATTAAATTGTTTCTGTATTGCATGGACTGTTAGCTGGAAGTTAGCTTTTTTGCTAGTCTGGAATGTTTCTGCATTATGCAATAATTTAATTAATAGATTTTGTTGATATTTCATCTTAAAACCTTTCCAGATTTACTACATTAAAAATATTCCCACATCTATTAAAATATTTGTATTTCACTTGAAAATAGTTCCTTTTTCAGATTTAAAGTTACACACAGAACCCATAAACAATGGGAGACCAGAAACATCAGAGAAAGCTAGGGAATTTCAATTGGGTCAGGCAGTCATGGATGTTTCAACAGCTTTTTTACATATATTCTAACTTTGTCTAGTATTCTGTCCCACAGTACATATGAATGTAGCTTTTCTCCTTCCCTTTAAATATCTGCACATCTTCCGTTATTTTCCGTAATCTTCATTCTGACTTTATGCACTACAGTCCTAAACAAGTCATATAGCAACGTGGCAAATAAGTAGAATTGAACAGTGTGTTCCTAAATCTTTGCAAATGTTAATTGTATGTGTTTAGCTTTTTTAGCAGACACACACTTTTTTTTTACAATACTTAAAAGAAAATAAATATGTTCTTTCTCTTAGAAGATTATGGAACACCAACAAATGATTTTGAAGACACTACAAATAATAGTAACCAAGTTACTTCTACGGATGTGTCAAACAAAGACAATGAAGATAGCATCACTGTAAGTATAAACATCATTTCCTGGTTTGAAATCACAATAGACTTTCTGAGTAAGAATCTAGGCCAAGGATATTTTAGCTTGCAACAAGACATTATTTTGCATGTACCCTGGAGCTTTTAGCTGTGGTTTTATAATGCGAAGCAATTTTTTAAGGACAAGCTGGTCAAATTTAGACATAACATTATTTACATAATTTGATTCATACATTTCAGCTGATACTAGGAAATGGTGGCTCCCAAGCCACAAGAATGCAGCTTTCATTTACACATTGAACTTGTTTTCTTTAGCATGAAAAATAAAGCATAATGCTAACTGAAAGGCTGCAGTGCACCCTGAAATAATTGAAATGACTAGAAAGTTGGCACATCATGGTTTAAAATCACGTTCACATTTCCTTCATTTGATTTTCTGCAGCATTGTGTCTTCCTCCTGAGCTCAAATTACACTTATTAGTAAGCTCGGAGTTCTGGTACTTGTAGCCCAAGCACATTGAGAAGATGCCAAGTTAGAGAAGCTATGTAAGCACTGAAGTTCTAGTCCTGCCTTAGGCACAATAATAGCAAGATGTCTTTGGGCCAGTCACTTTCTCTCAGCCCTGGAAAGGAGGCAATGGCAAATTACTTCTGAAAATTTTTGCCAAGGAAACTGCAGGGACTTGTTGAGGCAGTCTCTGATAACCAGACATGGAAGAAACCCCCCACCAATCCACTCCTACTATATGTTTAAGAATGTTGCCAATGTATTAATATTAACAGCTAATAATCTAATTAATATTTTTAGAACAGTGAAACCTGGAAAAATTGTGCAGTTTGATTTATTGTTGCTTGTTTTTTTTCTTAGGTGTATGTTGTAGTGGGGATTGCTGCATTGGTGTGCACTGGCTTAGTTATTATGCTCATTATTCTCAAGTTTGGAAGACATTCTAAGTTTGGAATGAAAGGTAAGACGACTGCTTTTAATTCTTCTTTCCATATGTTTCTCTGCTGGTTGTTTTATGTAATTATTTAGACAATTACAGGCATACATTTTCGTTCTCTTATTCAAAATGGTTATTCAAATTGTTTAAATATGTAAAGGTAATAGTGCAACATTTCTATTGAATTCTGTGATTTGCAGTAGATTGATGCATGGTAATTGTTTCTGACATACAGAAATTAATTTACATGCAATGCAGGTTCTACCTCACTTGATACATAGTACTATGTTTTGCAAGAAATATTACAGTTATTTTATTTTTGAAGAACTTTTCATATGAAGTCTGGGGATTTCAAATGGGACCAAGCTCCTTTACCTCAACATTTTTTCAACACCTCTCCCACTTCAATATATTTTCCTCACTGACCAACTTGTCAATGACCATGTTTCTTCTCCTTGCTAACCAGCATTGGTTTTTATCCATGGATCCTTAAGATAAGGGCATGAAGTCCTATCTTCAGTTCTAAATGACTATACAATTCTGATCTGATTACATTCCTCCAAGAAAGTAGGTATTGTTTAATTCCTAAAATAGACTGAATTGCTATCTAAGAGAGTTGTCCCACTGTAAAAAAGTGTAAGTATAGATAAAAGAAGTAGCATCTCTTTATATGCAAAGAATATACTTTGCAGAAAGAATCTGTTTTAGGTCATTCTTTCACCAGTTTTCTTATCATAATGCGCCTTTTTGCCTTTATGTAAAGTGAGTTTTAGATAAAAAAGAAAAACATTTTTATTCTCAAGGCTGCAATGAAAGTCAAACTACCCTGATATTCCTGTGGTGATAAAATCAGCTGAAAAACCACATTGTTGTTCATGCAAGTTCTTTACTTAAAATGGTTGTACCCAGAACAGAGCAGCAGTTCCTGCATGATAGATGGTCCAGTGAAAATTGGCTTTAATTCGTGGACCAGAGAAGAAATTACTGAGGAAAGGGGGTGCAGAGAAGCTGCAGACACCACGTCTAAAGTCAAGATCTTAGCCTAGGTCAGTGGATCTTAAACTGGGTATATTCTGGGGGTAATTTGCAATTGCTAATTGCTGGTTTTTAAGTCAAGGATCCAATTTGAGACTACCATTGCTAGGATACTTGTGAAAATAACAAGAATTTATTTTTTTCCTGCGGTAATGACATTATTCAAGCCCAGAAAAAAGATATTTGCCTGAAACAGTTTAAGAACCACTGTTCTAAGTAATTCTTTCAGGAATCTGTAAGGATATATGTAGTAAAACTATATTTGTGATTGTTGAAGTTAACAACATAATGTTACATCTGGAAAGATTTACAGTATTTCATCCATCGAGAAGATGTGAGCTAAGGTTAAATATTCTAAAGGTTAAATATTGCAGAACATAGAATCCTGTTTCTTTTTCATTTTTCTTCATGGCTGATTCCTTTCCCTTCAATGCTTCAGGGTCATTTCACAACATGTCACTTTTTAGCTCATTGTGGTTACTTTGAATAAATAAGAAGAGAAATAGAACTTTGAGTGGATGTTTCAGAAGACAGACTCTTGGGTATCATCATGTCAACTGAGCACATTCTAATTCTGTGTCTTTTGTAAGTGTTCCTTGACTCTCTGTCTCTATCTCTTCCCCATTCCACTCACTCACTCACACACACACACACATATTTATATATATTTATGTACACTTATATACATATTCTTAGAACTTTATATTAGAAAAACAGATGGAAATGGGTGAATGAATTGTATCTTTTTCTTAATAAAAATAATGATTACTCATTTTCATGTATACTGCATTCATTCCAGAGGTGGTATTCAGCAGGTTCTGACTAGTTCTGGAGAACTGGTAGCGGAAATTTTGAGTAGTTTGGAGAACCAGCACATATCACCTATGACTGGAGATTTTACAGTATCCTTCCCCTGCCCTGTCCACCAAGCCACACCTACAGAACCAGTAGTAAACTTTTTTGAATCCCACCACTGATTCATTCCCACATTTCCAGAAAGCAAGGTTATAATTAAGCCTTGGCTATTGTTCCAGAAGGGCTTGGAATGTGTGAGAACACATTAAAAGAGGCTCTTTTCAGATCCTTAAAGCATCACTATCTTTTCTCCTGGCTTGAATGGCTGTTTGTGACGTTGCTTGGGAGCAGTTTTCAGAACAGCCACATGATAATAGAAGAAGTCACGGCAGCTTTAACATTATGAAAAGAGGTGCTTGGTATGTGCTCTCACTTATTCCAAAGCACCTTTTACCAAGGAATTGAACAGCTCGAATTATAAAATCACGTTTAAATCACAAATCGTTTTTAAGGTTTTTTTTCTGATTAGAATACAAAGGAAAAATATCCCTACACCTTCATATAAACTCCCATTCTTTAGATGAAAGATTTTTGTACATCATGAGTCACTTTTTTTGTCTAATTCTACGAGTCAGAGGTACGAGTCAGAGGTGATAATAGTTACGTAGAAGGAAAAGATTTTTAAAGAAATTTCCCAGATTTTCTATTTTAGGTTTCTGAATTAGTTTTAAAAAATTACTGAAAATAAAATTTCTCCCTCTCTCCCCCACTCTCTCTCAGCTTAGAAAGGTTTTAATCTATGCTTATAATTTTAAAGTTTTTTTAAAAAATGTGTTATCTATTAGAAGTACACAATATGCATTAATATAGGATGATGATGATGATGAAGAGTCAAGTTAACAAAAGTGTAGAGTTGAGGGTTACTTTATAAGAGAGACACGTTATCTAGTTTGGGAATATTTATTTCTTCTTCAGGGTGTAAAACCTATTTAAAATAAACCTTGTAGAAAATAGAAGAGAGACATTTGGGATAGCGGCTTAGGCAGCCAGGAAACTTTAATCCTTTGGGCCTGAAGCTGGCTGGGGGATCTTGGGCCAGTCACTCTCTTTCAGCCCTAGGAAGGGAGCAATGGCAAAGTACTCCTGAAATCTTGCCAAGTAAACTGCAGACTAGTCTAGGCATTCACTGAGAGTCAGCACTGAATGGGAGGCAACCCATGCCCCAATTGTAGAAAATGCTGTAAAATATCCTGGATCAGATGGAGAGCTATATTTGTCTTCTAATCAGTGTGAGTGTACTTCCCTTTTGGATCACCTTTTTGAATGCATGAAGATTGGAAAGAGTCCTTCATATGTATAGGTAAATGCTTAAACACAGCTCATGTAATTAAGCTTGTTGCCTAACAAAGATTTAATAGGTTTACTCTTGGATAAATGTGCGTTGGAGTGTGACAGGAATTTGGATGTACCGAGTTTTTATTTGCAATGATTGTTTTCTTTACTTCTGCAAATAATATAGATCCATCCTTCATTTCTTATTATGCATAGAAGTGAAATGTCTGTTGTTACTAATGGAGCATATCTTGCAGCTGGGAGAGTTTTTGCTATCCTTCACACATATATTTGTAGGTTGCAGTATTCTCTACTTTCTAGACAGCAGGAAAGTAAATCTGGTAAAATTCCCGGGCCTGCTTTCTCCCTCCCCCTTCTTCCCGTTCTACCCCTTATTTACCTTCCACAGCTAGTAGTTTCATATTACTGTAGGAAGGCAGGAATTGAACACCATGTATAGTAATACTGAGTGCTGTCAATTCCAATACACTGTCCTTGGAGCAGAGGTTAAATGAATATGGACAGCCTCTGTTTATTGGAATAATGATGATGTACCAGTGAGTTAGCCATAATGCTTTTTTTTTTTCCTGAATGGTAGACAAAATGTTAAGTCTTTTACCCAATTACTTTCAGTGCCATGCTAGATTCACAGTGTCTTACATTCCATAATAATCCCATAACACGGTAAAAGGTTCTGTCCCTCTATAAAAACAAGTTTCACATGTGCTATCATTCCATTGAATAACACTGCTTTGTGGGCATCTTACATATTTCCTTACTAATATAGATTTCCAATGTCCTATCTCAGATGTGTACACATTCACACGCTAAAGTCATGTTCATTTGCAAAGGCTTCAAATGCTCTCTAGCCTTATTCTACTTCATGTAACTATAAGTAGTGGCAGGCAAGACATGTGTGCAGTTGCATGCACAGTTTTGAACAGTCCCAACTCTAAAAACTTGTTTGTAAGGAAGTTTTCAATAACTAAGTCTGAAGCAATGGGCAGAAGCATTTTAGATACATGGCCCAAAGATCTCAGTATGATGGGTAGGCTGTCAGCTGGTCCAGATTCAAAGGAACAATTTCTATATACTAAGACTTTAGGGTGCAAAGAGGCAGATTTTCCAGTTGTTGTTCCCAACAAGAGTTTGTTTGCTAAGAGTGGCTCTAAATTAGCACACACACACACACACTCCCATACACACACCTGGTGCATATGATCACTGCTAGGAATGTCCTTGCCTTGGTCTTCCTTCTGCCTTTCACTCAGCCCTACAAACTTTAGTGCTGGGAGATGTTCCTGGATCAAGCCCCACATCCTAATGTTTCTAGCTGCTTCAAATGCTCTCTAGCTTTGCTTCCATCTGAATGTCCTCTGAAGTGCCCCATCTCAGAGTAAGAGCTGGCCCTGATACCCAAGAAACGGTCCAGTTTTTTCAAGAAACTTTAGCTCAAGTTCTTCCGCTTCCTTTTATAAAGACATATTTTTATAATAAACAAAAAGACCCAAGCAATTTAATCTTAAACTTAAATGGCTCATAGCATTTTGATTTAATACAGTTACAAATTGCCCATAATAGACATAATACTATCCTTGGGGGAAACCTTTATTCAGCCATTATTGCTGACATGGATGTAAATGGTTTTCATATACAAAAAAAGTAAGTGATTTCAGAGTTGTTATACTGAACAGTACAATCCAGATTTTTTTTAAAAAAATCTTAAATAAAGATGGTCTGAGTTAAGAAAGGCATGCATATACATATTTTGGAAGAATTCTAAGAGAACTTGTGTTTTATTTTTTCAAAGGTAACTTAAGTTCAGAGTAACTAGCTGTAATTCATTAATGATTCAGAATGGT